AAGAGCCCCTCGGGAGCTCCGGGGGATCTCGCCGTCGCTGCTCAGCGCCGTGCTGTGCCCTTGCCCCTGGCGGGCATCAGGTGTTCGGGTTGCCACAACATCTGGAGGCTCCGCGGTGCTGTGAGCAGCCTGCTCTGAGAAGGGGTGGGGGAGAGCCTAAATCTCCCCCAAAGTTGAAAAGCATCTGCTGGGGACTTAACCTCGCGGCCCCATGACTGATACCCAACTGAAACAATAAGGTCTGGGAGGGGGGGTTTAAGCTGCATGATGACAAATGTTTCATTTGCCCCAAGCACACTCTGGCTTATTTTAACCTCCTCTACACAGGAGGATGCCTGGGGGCAAAGTAAAAATAGATCCTTAGCTAAAAGAAGAGAGGTCCCAGCATGGGACATGGGGCAGCACATGGAGTGTGAGCCTGGGGTTCTACAGCCACCCATAGTACTGCTGGGACATGAGGATCCACACCGGGGATGGGACCCTCTGGGTGAGCACCACACGCTCCTTTGGGAGACATCCCTTTGTCCCTCTGATTCCTATGTCTCCTATGTAGGTCTGCTGGAAATCTCCCCTGTGGAAAGAGGAGTGGTGAGCATATTTGGTGTTAGAAGTGGACTCTTCGTGGCCATGAACAGCAAAGGCAAACTCTATGGATCCGTAAGTAACCACTGAGTGTGTGCCTGGGGAGGGAACCATGGTCAGCTGAGGTGTGCATGGTGTTAGAAGCTACCCAATATCATTCTTGCCCCTTCTGGGTCAGGCAACGGAGCAGCCCTTGCTGCCTTGCCAACAGATGTGCTGCTTACTGAGCTTTTGAAGTAACCCCACTCTCTTGCATTACATTCCCTTGGCTCCCCCATAAAGACTATAGTCACCCAACCATGGCTACCCATCTTGCCTAGCACATAGTCAACAGAGTAGTCGTTTGTGTGGCAAGACCTAAAGCTAGCCTCAGCCCATATCCTTCTTGTATTTGAGTACAACCAGCCTTAAGTAGACATGGCAGTTCCTCATTCCATCTCTCAGAGGGCACTTGAACTTGTGATCAGTCAGGATCCCACAGATGACCCTTTATGATGTGCTGAATCAGTACCTGTCACATACCTATTGATCACCCTTTGTTAAGGCTCTTGATTGGAGAGTCTGTTCCCATCACAGTTCATAACCTTCAAAGTTTGGACTTCCATGTATAAGGCAGTAGATCTGTTAGGAGACAATACACATCTTTTTTTACATTGAATCTTTGGAGAAGATAGAGACATCTTATAAAATACACCCGAGGTGGACAATAACAGTGCATGTCTTTGTCCATGCTGAGCTGTCCTCCTGGTTTTCAGTTCACCTCTGTGTAGGTTACTGTGATCAGCATCATGTCAAACCCATGTTCCTGGATCACTTTCCTTACCCCTGGTTTTTCTATTTCATATTTTTCAAGTAGGCTTTGAAGAAACTTGGGCTGAGGAAGAACCAAATTATGTCAGAGTTAAATAGGGCATTTCCACATGAGGACAGGAAGCATCCAGAATTATTTTCTGGGACTTCAGTCCTGTTACAAAGGATTTTGACTTCTATAAAAGTCAGGTAGAATCAGTCACAAAGCTCCCCTTGCATCCTTTCTTAGGAAGACTGATGCTTTGGTGTCCTGGATGAAGTAATTCCCAGTGCAGCGTTCAGCTTGACAGGCTGAGACCTCCCTTCCAAACTCCCCAGCTTTTGCCCCATAATAAGAGACAAATTCATTTGTTAGTTTCCAGATAACCACACACTTGTAACACCTGTCCCTCTTTGTACTGACTTGCAAATGAAACCTCTTCACTGGGAGGGTGCCTTTTGTCACCTCTGTTTTCCTGATCCATTAACATAAGTGAGCCCAAACCCTTCCTTCGATTTTAAAACTAAAGCAGCAGAGATTACTGTCTATGCTGGGTGTCTTTAAAATGCCTCTTTCTCCTCCAGCGCCATGAGAAAGTGCTAGCAACTGTATTTTTTAGGAGCCTCTCAAGCAATTCACTGCTGGTAGGACAACCTCTAAGCAATTAAAGTGGGGCAGCAGAACTGGGCTTGGGCTTTACCCCACTGCAGCTCTGCTAAAATGTTCCCCTCTCCCTGAAGAGAGCAGCCACAGCTGTGGGTGTTGTTCCCACCTTTGAGCGTACACGCCTGGCCTGGACACAGCATCCTTAACGATCCTCTGAGTCCTGTTTGAAGCTTCTTTTGGGTGACCACTTCAAAAGATTACTAAGGGGGGGGGGGACAGTCAGATGTACATTTCCTGGCAGCACACCTTCTACACCTGGTAGCAAGAACAGTCCCACACCTGATGTTTAAAATTTCTTCTCTCTCATTCTTTCCTTTTCATTTCAGACCCATTTCAATGACGAGTGCAAATTCAAAGAGATTCTCCTGCCAAACAACTACAATGCTTACGAATCCAGGATTTACCCCGGGATGTACATAGCCCTGAGCAAAAATGGAAGAACAAAGAAAGGCAATAAAGTATCTCCCACGATGACAGTGACACATTTTCTTCCTAGAATTTGAGACATCTCCCTTCAAACCTACCTCAGCCCAGGGGAAGACGCAGAACACGTTTGGGGAAAAGAAACATGGTGCACTTTTACTGGAGAGTTTTATGCCAGAGTAGGTGTAAGATATTTAAGTTAATTATTTAAATATGTATATATCGCCACAAAATTTATTTATAGTTCTGATTTTTTTTTTTTTTTTAAATTTCCAAAACCAAACCAAACCTCCATCCCAGAGTGTTTCATTTCATGGTGCCAGAGTAGAAACCGCTTCGTGGTTTATTTAACTCCTTCCTAAGTTGTCCCAGGTGTGCTGCTACCCCATGCCCTCCAAGAGGTGGAATTCAATTCCTCCACTACCACATTTTGCACTGTTTGGGTGTCCTGCTGCCTGTCGTGTTTGTTTGTTTGTTTGTTTCTTACGGTGGCTTTGTTCTCCCCTGCGTGTTTTCCGACCCCCCCGTGACTCCCAGGGAAGCTCCTGGCGGCCGAGCAGGAGCACTGGCAGAGGTGCCCGGGTGGGATGCCAGCGTGGAGCCCCACACAACGCCCGGGCTCCTTTGTGCCGGTTAGCTGGAGCAGGATCAGTTTCCCTCGGCGCAGGAAGCGCGGTGCTGAAGAGCTACCCCACAAATCTGTTTTTAGATCTGCCAGCGCTGAACTTTGAACTTCCCTGCAGTCCGTCTTCTCAGAGAGGCTTCAACACCTATATAAACTCACCAGCATGGGGTGGGGCTTTTTTTTTTCAATTTAGATAAACAGGAGCATAAGATCTTTTGTGGCCCTTAATGGAAGCTTATATTTGATATGATTGCTCGACATGAGGCTAAAGAAAAATGTATCTGTCCCTCCCCCAGCGAGCACACTATGAAACACACTGCCCTGAATGAATTCTACTTTATCCAAATTAAATTCCCTTTCCCCTTTGGAGGCTACATTCATTTTTCAAAGTTTGTGGAACTATCACACTCAGAAGTTTTTAAAAGGGAAAAGCATTTGCTGGTTCATAGAAAACAGAAGCTCCACAGAGAGGATTTAGATTGATCACAAGGAGTTGAGGTTGTTTTGTGCTATTTATTATTTTTGGTGCAGTATTTGGAAGGAGAAATATGCTGCTTTTTTTTTTTTTTCTGTCTCATTCCCTGACAAAGTTGATTAATTTCTACCTCACTAACTCTCAAAGCCAGTCTCCTAACAAAACCTGCATGCAAGGAAGGTACACGCTCTTCTGCTTGGTCTTGTGGTTCTGGAGGAGGGCCTGGGGGAACAATCGTAATCCCAAATCTCTCTTTTTTCCATATGTAGCCAAAAGTATTCAGGATAGAGTTGGTTGCATCCTATTTGAGCCTTGTCACGTTTGAGCTATCTTTACCCACTGGTTTACTTTTAGTAAGCAGAATCATGGTGAAAATATTTGTAGACAGCTGTCAGGCTGCAGTACTGTATCGTCATCAAGTAACCCTAGATTTTTCTTTATATATTTTGCAAGAGTAACTTATGCCTCTAACATGATGAAGGAAAAGACAGGTTTGATTAGGGGGGAATCACTAAAAGGGTCCTTCTTTTCTTTTCTTTTCTTTTCTTTTCTTTTCTTTTCTTTTCTTTTCTTTTCTTTTCTTTTCTTTTCTTTTCTTTTCATTTTCTCTTTTCTTTTCTTTTCCATTTTCTCTTTTCTTTTCTTTTCCTTTTCTCTTCATCTTTGGGGCAACAGGTGGGAACGAGGTCTAATCACAATGTTTGATGACTTTAGAGGATGTTTAGGGATCATCTTCCAATCTAAACTAGTTGTTTCTGACTTGATGCAAATCTGAGTTGGGCTTTTTTTTTTTTCCTCTTTACATTCCTACACAAAAGCCTTTGTTCCTTTGTGATGGTACAGACTTGCCTGTATCCTCTACTTACACGTGACCTTGAAGCCAAAAATCTACTCACCAAAGTTCAGTCAGACCAGAGCAGACCAGGACCAGAACTTAAGCCAGCTGCTGCCCAAGGGAAAATAACAATTAAGAAAAAGGAATCCAGATCAAGAGAGAGCACCTAGGAAATGTTATGCCTCAGGATTGTTTTTTCCTGTAACTTGGGGGATTTCTGTACTTTCTGTGTTTCCTATATGTGAGCAATCACGGTGTAATTATCACCGCTACCTCTAACAACTGATGGTTTTGTTTCAGATTTCAGATAGAAAAAAATCAGATCACAAAGGTTTCCTCTGGGAATGGTTCTTTGTCACTTTTCACTCCGTTAAATCCGCAACCAACGGCCTCGTGCGAGATATGTTCAGAGGTAGTTGTTGTAACTTTGAAATATCGTGATAAAAACTTGATAACAATGTTACATGGTTTGAGCTTTCACCATTTACCAGAATCTGTCTGTAGTTTTATACAGGTGCTGTTCAAGACTGTGGTGTATGTGCTGTGCACATTGAAACGCATAATAAACGATAAACGTTTACAACGTACGGCAGCCTGGTGTTGATTTTAACTCTTTAGAAGGGATTGCACCCTGCAGTGAAAGGCAAAAAAATGCTATTTCACTCTCCCAAAGCCTTTGCACCTACGCCAGCTACTTCACGAATGACAGCCTGGATTTCTTACTCAGCTAAAGTCCCTGGCCAAGGCTGGACGTGGTCCAGGACAGCCCACGAGCTCGGTAACAGATCCGCACGCTTGCATCTGCCACATGCTGCTCCCTGACTCCTATTATCTGCGTGGTTATTAACAGCAGCAGCTCTTCCCACAGCAGCTAATCTTCACCATCAGAGACACAAATCAGCTCTGGAGCTTGTGCTGCTGGATGGTAATGTTACAGAGGAAACCTGCTGGCTTTTTCTTGGCTTTTCATGAGTGCAGCTTTCTCTCTCTCTCTCTCTCTAAAGCAGGACCACGTCGATACAAGAGATTGTAGGATTACAATCTGTTTGATTTGAGATACTGTCTCTCCTCACAGTTAGTGACTACATTCATAAGTGCATAGAAATATGAAGTGCATTGTAGCACACCTCATAGCAAGATTCTCCTGCACAGCTTTTATAAGTGTTCTTACAGATGCACTTGTGCACACACACACACTGTCAGATCTCTGTCCTTCCAGTTTTACTCCCTTCCTAGGATGAGGCAAGGATATGGAATGAGAATGGCAACACTCAGGTTTGATCTTACACACCTTGATGGCAAAAGGAGTTTGTCCAGCTAAGTAAATGCCATAAAAAATAGAAAGCCAGATGCCAAGCTACAGATTTCTCCATTTTCCATGGAGGAATCCTCCTGTTCCTAGAAAGGGGAAGGCAATAGATGAGCTGGGAATATCCAGCCCTCATTCTGTGTAAGAGCAATTTCTCTCTAAAGCTGTATAGGATCTATAAGTATGTGGCACAGGTGTTGGGGATTTTTGTCACTGGACAAGTATAGCTGCAGTGTGTTTGATGCTTCTATGAATAGAGCCAGAATAAATAGGCATGCAGATAAATATAAAATGAATTTTTCAAAATGAACTTTTTTTTTGTTGTTTACAATGCTTGTTAAAAGGAACAAATGTAAATTTATTTCTGCCAGGTCTTCCAAGATTGTAACAGAAAAATACAGCTAGGGATAAAAATTTGTTGCAGCCTTGGAGAAACAGCCAATTATAATTTTAAGATCATAGATAAAATCTAAGGCTCTTTGGAAGGTGATCTTTCAGACTAGTAGCCATGCAGGTTTATAGCACTCAGAGTGCTGGTGCTGCACACAGAGTTCTACACCCACAAAAACATAAGGCTTGCCACCACAGATGGAGATGTTTGAGATGTCACACAGAACTCTAGCACAACATTCCTCCTTTGGCATCACCCATTCTTTGCTTCATTGCTAAGCCAGCTTTCCTCACACTGCCTTTGGAGATAATAAAAGAACTGCATTAAAGGTGAAAATTAATTTTACACACACCCCCAATAAAAAGATTCTGATACAGCATATTTCTGAGAGCACTGAGAGCACTGCCACGCTCCAGGCATGCCCAGGGCTCCTGCCATCCTCTGCCAAACAGTTCCCTGCACAGGCCAACCGAAAACCTTTCCTGAGGATGGACTAATCCCTTCCACAAGCCAGGATCATTTCCCCCACCCAGTGACCATCCAGCTTGTCCTGCAGGATGCAGAGAAGAGCAGCAGTGCCAGCCTGGCCCCACTCCAGGCCCCCCGTGTGCCAGGGACGGGCAGAGATGAGCTTCCAAACCTCACCACTCACTTGCAGACTTGCATGTTTTAAATGGTCCGTGCTTAACATTTTGTGACTCACTCGTGACATCTATCAAGTTGCCTGCATCAAATCTGTGCTAATAAAAATCAGCATGACAAAACCCTGCCTTGTATAGACACAGCCACAGGTTTCTGAGCAGCCACTGGGTTTATAGTGCCAGGTTCAGTTGTTCACACTTTGCCACTTGGTTTCCACCGCAGTATGTTAACTGACCATGCAAGTGGCCAATTAAAGAGAGTCTGTTAAGGGGTGAGGACTCTTTTGATAAAGGCTAGCAAGCACTTCAGCAAGAAAGTTAAAAGGAAATCCCTGAAATGTTGCAGCTCCCTTTATATGACACAAAGTATTGTTGCTTTTTAATGTAGAAAACCAAGAAGGAAAGAAAGGAGAGAAAGAAAGAGAGAAAGAGAGAAAGAAAGAAAGAAAGAAAGAAAGAAAGAAAGAAAGAAAGAAAGAAAGAAAGAAAGAAAGAAAGAAAGAAAGAAAGAAAGAAAGAAAGAAAGAAAGAAAGAAAGAAAGAAAGAAAGAAAGAAAGAAAGAAAGAAAGAAAGAAAGAAAGAAAGAAAGAAAGAAAGAAAGAAAGAAAGAAAGAAAGAAAGAAAGAAAGAAAGAAAGAAAGAAAGAAAGAAAGAAAGAAAGAAAGAAAGAAAGAAAGAAAGAAAGAAAGAAAGAAAGAAAGAAAGAAAGAAAGAAAGAAAGAAAGAAAGAAAGAAAGAAAGAAAGAAAGAAAGAAAGAAAGAAAGAAAGAAAGAAAGAAAGAAAGAAAGAAAGAAAGAAAGAA